CAACAGTATGCACTATATATTATGGGTGATACAGGTAGCAAAAAAAAAAACACAACACAAGGTGTAAAGTGGCAATAATATAGACCCGACACTTTCCATGTTATAATAAAGCACACTGGTATATATTTCGATATAATTATCCACATAAAATGTCACTTGGGAAATTCAAGAAATTTTCTCACAAACTAAATTACGAACGTCAACATACCTGTGTTTCTTAATGCTTCCGCAATAGTGAATATACCACCGTCACAAATAAATTATTTCTCCGAAATATTTCTTCGAAGATTTCCAATGGATGTCAATACGTGGTGAAACAATCCCTTTACTTTGTATATAACGTTTTCGCCTTCGTTGCATTTGGAAACGCCCCACAGAATTCCATTACCTAGAAAAAGAAAAAAAAACATAATTAATAATATAGAATTATAAAAAGAAAATACAAAAGTAATGATTCACAATAAACCATACATTAAGAAAATAAATAGGCAACATAAACAGAAGTACAAAGAAAAGAAAACAAAAACAATTGCTTTACCTGCACACATTCGTATGAACCAAGGCAAATCAAAACAATACAGAAAACCAGAAAATAGAATAGCAACATCGCCATTTATACTCAGCAGCAACAGCATGGCTTCATACCGAATCCTCATACATGTATGACGGACAGTGATAGGCATTTACATCAATGTCATTTCAAAGGCATTTCAATGAATGGTGTATATATGTGTGTGTGTGGTCAACTGCCGCCACAAGAACCACATTAAACTGAATGTACGTCGATACGGGCATCCCATACAACGAACACACACACATGTACGAAAAAATGCCAGCCATTCATTGTTCAGGTAAAGAAAATGTTTCTGAAAAAAGGAGGAATAGATTCATTAAAGAAATATATAATATATAAATTAAAAAGGAAAAATACTCACCTAGGTAAAAGGCAAATATGTGATCCAAGGTCAAACGGTCATCCGTAATCAGGGATTGCAGCCTCTATACCCGATTTTTTTTAATTGAACAGCTTGGGTTGGAACAAATTATGTGTATTTTTTTTGTTAACACGACGGTATCACGAATGTGGTTACATTTTATACTGCGAACGATTCGAGAGCAAACATAAACGCACATCGCCATTTTCTTCACAGGATTTGGAAATGGCGAAGTTTTGTTGCGTGGTGCTTTAATTAGAATTTTTTAATTTAACTAACCCGTCCGCGACCTCCCGACACTAGCAACCGGCACTTGAGAAATGAAGCGGAAATGCTGTGGTACCAAAAATTGCCGCTACTGTCAGGGTTGCATTAACACCGATTAGTATCGATGGTTATTAATCGGATATGCAACTCTGCGATAATTATAGGGGTCGCTAGGTCGTAGATAGAAAAAAATGATAAACAGCAGGGAAAAAAGAAAAGACCGAAAAGAGGGAAAATTCGGCGTCGTCCCCTGCAGTATAAAAGGACCCCAAAGAAAAAAATGCGCTCTCATTTGAACAGTGGTGCGATACGATAGTTTTTCGGAAAATAAAACAAACTCAAATATTAGTTTTTTAAAAAAGGCCTAAATCTGCCTTAATTGATTTTTATTTATGTTGTGGGCGTTAAAAACAGATTGTAAGTGTAAAGTCATTGTGTAGTGTGTGATTGTGTCGACTTATGTTGTTTTGTGCGTTTTTTATTTGTTTGCAGGGTACCGCCAATTAGCCAAAAATCTGAGGCTTCAACTGACCTCCCCAACAAGTATAAAACGGAGAGGTCAGTTTTTATTTTATCGGCTACAAAAAAACCGCAAACCAGCAACAGCGGCAACCACAGAAACCTCTTTGGCGAAAAATCACTGCCATTGCATCGGCCACACATAATCGCCGCTACAACAGCCACCAAATTGGCCCCAGCCACAATAGGCACGGCAACAACAGCAAGCGCCAAACTACCGGGTTCTGCCTAATCCCGAGGAAGACGTCGGCTGTAGGTGTGCTGAAAAGGAATAAAACGGAAAGGTTACCAATTATTATTATTTTGGATTAATCCAGGTAACGAAGATATTACTTACCAATTCCATATGTAAAACTGGCATCGCCACCATAAGAAAATTGAATAATCACCATAAGAAAATTAAATAATCTGAAAAGAAAGAAAAGAATAGAAATGTTATTTACAAAAAAATTAAAAATTATAAAAAGGCATAACCAAAACTAAAGAAAACTGAAAAATATGAAAATTTTAAAAATCGATTAAAACTAATAATATTACATAACAATACTATTTAAACTCTTAGGTTAAATCTAGGTTAAGTTGTGTTGTCCATAAGTGTTTGTTACTTAATGATTCTAAATATTTGTTTGTAAGAAGCATTAACTAGGTTTTTTTCTTGCGATATAATGATTCTAGGGTTGCCCCAATTTATGTAGTGTTTTTTGTTCATTGTGTGGACGAATTATTATGTCCAATAAAAACCTACTAAGCGAGCTCCTTTAGGCAGGTATAACCATTTTAATACTTGTGAGATAAGAGCCTATATTGGCATTATTTTTATCCGCATAAAAAAGGGTAAAAGTCCTAAAATTTAATGAATCCTAAAATTTATGAATTGTAGTTAATGTTTCATTCTTATCGTGTTTTATCTATTAAGGAAATTATGTCAATAAACTGTTTGTGATTTGTTTGTTAAAAATAATATGATGTTCTGATTGTTTTTGTGAGAGAGGAGAGTTAGGATATTGTAATGAGGTGAGTGTACATGGAATTCGGGGCCCTTGAAATGTTGTTATTTTTAATAGGATCTAAGGGTCAAGGTAGGGTGGGCAAGTGTGGGAGTAAAACCACCAATCTCCTTTGTTTCAGGTGTACCAGGTGTTTGTGTTGTATAGTTTTGTCTTTATTTATGTTAGTCGAAATAAAAATTTAATTGTTCGTCCTCTAGGACTATTGGTGTCTGGGATGGAACCGCCCTGATTATTGGCTCCTGAGCTAGCGGCCACAGATACACCATAGTACCGAAGTAGGTGGCACGTAACAAACTGTTTATGTCTTCTGCCACTCAGTGATTGACATCTACAGAGAATATGTTCAATTGTTTCTAGCTCTTCTTCGTACTCACATAGACGACAGTAATCCTCTCCGCTGGAGTCCCATTTCGAAGTGAGAGATCTAATCCTGCAGTGACCTGTTATGATCCCTACAATTATGTTGATCTCTTTATTATTATGTGCCAACAGCGAAGAATTACATCGGCGAGAGAATTAAGGCCAGATAGATTTTGAGATTCTGTAAGTCTGCTTTTCCACAGGCAGATTTTTATTTGGCAAATTTTTTGTTTTCTCTTTTTTTTCGCTTGCTTTTCCATTAGCAAATTTGCGAATCAAAATGCAAAAGAAAGAAAATAAAGTCAAAAGTGTTTGCATTTTGAAGATTTTTTTTAATATTTTATTTATTTTTTATATATTTTATTATATAAATTGCAAAAATTAAAAATTAAATTTTTAATTTTAAATAATTTTAAAAATTAAATAATTTCGAAGTGAGAGATCTAATCCTGCAGTGACCTGTTATGATCCCTACAATTATGTTGATCTCTTTATTATTATGTGCCAACAGCGAAGAATTACATCGGCGAGAGAATTAAGGCCAGATAGATTTTGAGATTCTGTAAGTCTGCTTTTCCACAGGCAGATTTTTATTTGGCAAATTTTTTGTTTTCTCTTTTTTTTCGCTTGCTTTTCCATTAGCAAATTTGCGAATCAAAATGCAAAAGAAAGAAAATAAAGTCAAAAGTGTTTGCATTTTGAAGATTTTTTTAATATTTTATTTATTTTTTATATATTTTATTATATAAATTGCAAAAATTAAAAATTAAATTTCACTTGCACAAATTAATGCAACAGGTTTGTAAACAAAAGCCGGCTGTGTGTCAGTAAAGCGAATAGGTTCAAAAGGAATGTCAACAAAAATTGTTTTCAACGAACAGAGCAAAGCAAACAGGCAAATTTTTGTTTTTCTTCCTCGCACCCCTCTCGCATACAAACTCAGTATTTGCCAAATAAAAATTTGCCTGTGGAAAAGCAGACTAACCAAGTTCTCTCGACCATCTGACCACCGTACAACAAGCGGATTTTGCCAATGAAATAACCAATGGGTGGTTGCACAGATCCCTCAATCGGAAGATTGGACGATTGTGTCAAATAAATCCTCTTAAAGTAGGTTAACCCGGTAAAAAGTTCTAATGTACAAGGAGTTTTAGTGTGTAAAACTATTTAGATTTGGAACGCATTTTACTGTGATTGGCGTGCTTATATAGCAACAGCTGTTTTCCAATTTTGTATTTTCTCATTGTTCTCATTCTAAACAATTCCAGTTTTTCTTTAATCTCATATTCATCCATCACTCCCCTTTTGTTGTTGTGACCTGAAGGAAATATTTGTATTTTCCTGTAATTTTATCTTGAAGCCAGATACTATGTCTCAAAAGTAATGATGTCAACGACATTGGAACGCTGCCCTGGACAATATTGTGGTCGTGTCGAATTGGAAGATGGCTGGAGTGAATGCGGCCCCTGTCCACGGGGTTATCGTGTAAATGCCAGCTACGCTTGCACCCAATGCGAAGATGAACTGGATTCATATTCATGGTTTTATATGGGTTTTATGGCTATGTTGCCGCTGATGATGCATTGTTTCTTTATTGATTTGGATGCTAAGGATCGGAAGTGAGTAACTAACGTGTTTCTTTTCGTTTATCAAATGCATATTAAATGTGTATTTTTTCAGATTCTCTCGTAAACAATTGATTTTGACATCTTGCGCCATTGTGGAGGTCACCATTTCGGCAATTGTTTCCATACTCTTAATGGAGCCCATGGGTGAATTTCGTCTATTTTCTTGTCCTGTGCGTAAATTTTCCGATTGGTATACTCTATTTTATAATCCAACGCCGAACTATGAGAAAACTCTGCATTGTACCCAGGAGGCTGTATATCCATTGTAAGTAGGTCGAAACAATGATATTTGAACATAGAATTTCTTTCGATTATTTATAAAATCTATAAACTTTGAATTATAACCACACACTTTTAGGACTATTTCGCTCGCCTATAAAGAGTATCCTTGGCTCGTGTATAAAGACTCCAATTGACTTTGTCTTTAAATTAAACATTTGGTCTATAAGGACGCTCCTCTCCTCGTCCAAAAAGACTCTCATTCACTAATTTTTAAATACTTCTTTTCCCTTGTCTTTAAAAGACTTCCTGTCGCTCCCTTACCTTGAGCTAGTCTATAAAAATTTCCTGACTTCTCAGTACGTCTATTACGAATTTATGAACTTCATCTCGTTTATAACAACTCCTTGAGATCAGCTTGACTGGCTCGTCAATAAAGACTCCTTTGACTGGCCTATAAAGACTCTTTCCGGCTAATCTATGAAGAGACCTACTGGCTCGTATATAAATACTCCCTCCGGCTTGTCTATAAATACTCAATCTGGCACGTCTATAACAACTCTCTCAGGCTCATCTAAAAAAACTCCCATTCGCTCGACTATAAAGACTACCTTTCATTCGTCTATAAAGACTGCAATTTGCTCGTCAATAAAGTTTCCCTTCGCTTCGTCTATAAAGACTACCATTCATTCGCCTATAAAGACTTTCGCTCGTCTATAAATACTTCCTTTCGCTCCCTTCCCCTTCAACTAGTCTCTGAATGCTCCCTCACTTCTCTATTCGTCTATAAAGACATTCTGAACTTCAGATCGTGTATAATATCTCCTTGTTTTGTTTTTCTTTATTTAAATTGCTTCTATTTTTACCTCTCTTCCGGAAAGGTTATTTCATACTTCAGTAGTGTTGGCGGTTGATTTGGGATACCATTTGTGTTTTGTTTTTGCTAAATAGTCAGGCTGTATGCCAGTTTGTTGTTTTTATAAAAACAACTATTTATTAGTGGGGATTGTATGGCATTGTTTGCCGAGGGGTATGGCAAGGAAGACTATAGTTTCATACTTTTATTATTTCAGGCAAACTATTGTATTGGTCTTCTATTTCCTGTGTCTCGTGACCATGTTTATTATAAGACCCATAGTTAGTGCTGTCTTGGATGTGAGAGGCAAGGCACCAATATATGCAGCCTTATATTTCTTGCCTTTGATAACTTTTGTTCATGCATTGGCATGCGGTTTGATATGTGAGTACAATCGAAATTAAAACATAAATATTCATTTAATATGATTTTGTTTTTTAGATTATGCCTTTCCTTACATGAGCATTGCTATGTCCATGATCTCAAATGCTATACATTATTCAATGAAATTGGATCAATCTTTTAAAGCATTGGTTAAATCATCATTTATGGAAATCAAGAATTTTGTGATTATTTGTAAGTATGAATGAAACTAAAATTTGCATTATTTCCTAAAAGTGGTTAAATGTTTATGACTATCATTGTTTATAGGTTTTCGAATATAATAATTAATATAATCTCCATTTCATTTAAGGTATCCAATGGTTATTGTTGGCCTATGGTATTATTGCATTGGGTCATCACTATGCTCTATTGTCGCTAGTACCATTCCCCTCAATATTCTATATATTGACTGTGCGTTTTACAGATCCAGCAGAATTTAGAGAAGTAGAGTCTCGTAGCAGTTAAGCAATACAAAGGTAAATTACAATACATAATTCTGATTTCTTGGACAGTCTTGAAAAAAATTAATTTTTGTTCTCAATAAACCAGCATTTGATAAATCAATTTCCACAAAGATATATAGCCTGGATCAAACCATAAAATAATCAATTTTTGTTCTCAATAAAAACGTGATCGTTGACCAAAATTATTACGACGGCATACATTTAAGATGGTACCATAAGATAATCAATATATATATATTTTTTAATGAAGGCGGGTCCTCCTCCAACTAGACAACTTTCTATTAAAATAGAAGGTATAGGACCATACACCATATGTAGACATCGTCTAACAATCTATGAATCCTTTGGATTGCTGTTGTATAAAAACCTGATATTCTTATTAACCTTGTTCACTCATAGATAAACTATTAATACCCTTCATCACACTGTGGTACAGGGTATTATGTCTTTGTGCATATGTTTTTCATTTAGTTCGGTAGATAAAACAGTTAAGTTAAGCGAAAGCTTAACACATCGCGTTTATGTAATTTTTTAAGCCCGTAGGCGTGATTATCTCTTTAAAATGCGTCTTTCTAGTGAGCCGTCCGAAGACGAACTGTCAATCAATATTTCTTTCGACACATATTTAATAGACCATTGGAATCATGCCATCAGTTCGTCTATAAGGTCTCCCTATTTCAATTCCTCTAAAAATACTATCTTTATATCGTCTATAAAGACTACCAGTTTCAGTTTGTTTATAACGACTCCACCTCCTCTATAAATGATCCTTTAATCTCGTCTCCTTTTGCTCGATTACAGAGGCTCCCTTTTGTTAGTTTTTAGAGACTCCTTGTATCATCTTGTTTAAAACGACTCCCTATTTTAGCTCGTCTAAAAAGACAAACTCTTGTTCGTTTACAAAGGCTCCCTAAAGTTATTCAGTAAAGACTTCATTTCGCTTGTCCACAAAGGCTTCCTCCACAACTCGTCCAGAAAGTCTTACTTCAACTCCTCTATAACGACTCTTTTACCCGAGAGTCTCCCTTCAAGCTAGTCAATAACGATTTCCTTTCCCATGAGAAACAATCTCTTCTATAAATCTAAATATACTTACCTACCTTCGATTTTTTCTCACAAAATAGATTCCAATAATAAAAACAGATTTATTATTCCATTTATAATAATTTTGTGTTTTGTTTTTGTTGATTTTGTTTATTTAAATTCTAAATATAATTATAAATTATTTTTAATACATGTACATTAATGTTTGTTTTCGGTTTCTTTTTTTTGTGTAATCATAAATTTAAATTTCCCATTTCTTTGTAGTTCTAAAGTTTTTTGTTTCTTTTTTGTTTGGTTTTAAATTTGCAATTCATAATTTTGTCTTTTGTTGTTTTTTTTATACACAATATATGTTATAGCTACATACATATTTTTTCTTTTATAAATTAAATATATATCGTTATAATAATTTTCTTTATAGTTTTTTTTATTATATATCAATTTAATATTTTATGTATAAAGAAAATTATTTTCACATTTGCTCGCTCGAAAAGAAAATGAAAAACACAGAAAAGAAAAGGAAAATGTGTGTGTCAATGCTTATTACGGGGATCATAGAGGCGTTTAAAAGCACTGAGTACAGTATTTAAAATAAAAAAAAATAAACATAAAATAGTATTAACAAATAGTAGTTACAACTTCTTTTTCTTCGCCTACATTTCGTTTCATGTAAAAAATATGCTCTTAAACTCAATTTCAACAAGGGAATACACAGATAAATGGAGGAGGAGAACATTAGGGGGAGGGTGTTAGCAATCTTAAATAAAGCCAAAAAAAAAAGTGAAAACCACTACATTTTGTTTCTTTTTATTATTCATTAGTGTTTTATAAAAAAAAAACGTTTTTCAGTCCACCTTCAAAATATAAAGAGTTAAGTTTTTTTCCTCTACTATTTTCTTTAGATCATCATATTTATAAAATTGAGCCTTAACGTTCTTCTTATTCCGTTGATGATGTTTTGTTGCGTTCTTCTAAGAATTTTAAACGTCGCTTCCGTAACTCATTTATCTGTTCGGCTGTACTGTCGATTTCCTTTGAGGATGACGGTGAAGTGGATGCTGCTGCTATTGTGGTCTTTGGCCCATCTATATGATCGTCTTCCTCCTCCCCACCCAAATCTTCTATGGTTACTTGATTGTGTTTGGCAACTGGAATTTCTTTACTTTCTTCAGTAGTTTTTATTGGCGTTTTGTTTTGTGCAACTGTTGCCGCAGCTGAAGCGGCGGCTGCTGCAGCAGCTGCTGCTGCCGAAGATGTTGTTGGTAATTCATCGGTTTTACTTTCTGTTAATAGTTTAGCAACTTCGGGTATTGTTGTTGGTTTTGCTACATCATTTGCTTTACTAGTTGTGGGCGTAGTGCCTACTGCTCCTGTTGATACAGATGATGTTCCTGTTGCGGCTGTAGTTGTTGGAGTATTTATTGGGATACTACGGGGAGCTACTATTTGATAGTTTTGCATTAAGACATTTGCTGCATCCAACATTAGTTGTATATTGCGTAAAAGCTGTAAAAACAGGTAGAATAAGAAAAATTAAACAACAATTTAAAAGTCGTCTTCATAGTTAACCTTCTGCTTCTCTATAGGCCGGGACCCTTCTGACCCTACAATCTTATCACTAAAGAGCCTCTGGCCTTTTAGTATCGTCAACATAACATGGCCCTTCAGTTTCTTTATATAAAGATTCTATAAATATTTCGTCATTTCGTCTAGAAATACTCTTTTGCCCTTAAAAACTTCGTTTGAAAATATCTTAACCTAGCACAAAAAACGCGGTATAAACAGAAAAAATTAAGTGTTTTGGAAACTCCCATCTCTGTTATGAACATATGGTAAGTTTTCTTCCGATCTGGCAACTTCTTCATATAGAAACAGGTTTTCAAAAAAGACGCATCCGCAATTCTTTACAATGTTAGCTCGCAAAACTAATTTTCCTATTAAAAATTGCGGATGCATCTTTTTTGAACACCTGTTTATATACGAAAGAGTTGCCAGATCGAAACAAAATTGTGTTCATAACAGAGATGGATGTTTCCAAAACACTTAACTTTTTTCTGTTTATACTGTGCTCTTTGTGCTAGGCTAAGAACTTTCCGAACTGCCCTCATATGTACTCATTGAACAATCTGTTCGTTTCTAAAGACTCCCACCAGGTCGTCTCCTTCCAGCTTGTATGGAAAGACTACTTTCAACTCATCTGTAAAGATTACTACTTTCTGTAAAGAGCCCATTCAGTTCACTCAAAAATACTGAGTGTTTTTTTCGACCTTTTTTGTTGATATTCCAGTAATGAGATTCTTTGAGCTTGAGGTCTTTTTTAAATGAGTTTATTTATTCATCGGGAAATATTTATTCTATCGGGAAATATTTGAATAACTAAACTCATTTTTGCAAGCTGAATATTCCAAATTCCCTTTCGCTCGTCTATAAAGACTCCCTTTCGCTCGTCTATAAAGACTCCCTTTTTTAAATGACTCCCTTTCGCTCGTCTATAAATACTTTTTCGCTCGAAATATATAAATAACTCCCTTTCGCTCGTCTATAAAGACTCCCTTTCGCTCGTCTATAAAGACTCCCTTTCGCTCGTCTATAAAGACTCCCTTTCGCTCGTCTATAAAGACTCCCTTTCGCTCGTCTATAAAGACTCCCTTTCGCTCGTCTATAAAGACTCCCTTTCGCTCGTCTATAAAGACTCCCTTTCGCTCGTCTATAAAGACTCCCTTTCGCTCGTCTATAAAGACTCACTTTCGCTCGTCTATAAAGACTCACTTTCGCTCGTCTATAAAGACTCCCTTTCGCTCGTCTATAAAGACTCCCTTTCGCTCGTCCATAAAGACTCCCTTTGGCTCGTCCATAAAGACTCCCTTTCGATCGTCCATAAAGACTCCCTTTGGCTCGTCCATAAAGACTCCCTTTCGATCGTCCATAAAGACTCCCTTTCGATCGTCTATAAAGACTCCCTTTCGCTCGTCTATAAAGACTCCCTTTCGCTCGTCTATAAAGACTCCCTTTCGCTCGTCTATAAAGACTCCCTTTCGCTCGTCTATAAAGACTCCCTTTCGCTCGTCTATAAAGACTCCCTTTCGCTCGTCTATAAAGACTCCCTTTCGCTCGTCTATAAAGACTCCCTTTCGCTCGTCTATAAAGACTCCCTTTCGCTCGTCTATAAAGATTCCCTATCGCTCGTCTATAAAGATTCCCTATCGCTCGTCTATAAAGATTCCCTATCGCTCGTCTATAAAGACTCCCTTTCGCTCGTCTATAAAGACTCCCTTTCGCTCGTCTATAAATACTGCCTTTCGCCCCTCTATAAAGACTGCCTTTCGCTCGTCTATAAATACTGCCTTTCGCCCCTCTATAAAGACTGCCTTTCGCCCGTCTATCACTCGCCCGTCCTTCGCTCGTTTTTAAAGACTCTCTTCATCCAGTATTCTATTTCTTGTTAGAAAGTGGTTTATTTTCGTCGACTTACCTTTATACGTTCTTCAACGTTTTTCCTTTCATTTCCTTCCATAGCTTTGAGCTCTTCATCAGTGAATGTGGTTAGATCTGGGGGCATTGGTGGTGGTGGTACAGCATATGGAGCCACAAATGGAAATGGTGGTGGCATCATAAATGGTGGAGGCATCATGGGTAGACCAGCAAAGTTTGGTAAACCATTTGCACCAGAGCCAGCCAAGTTGGGTAGTGTGGGCGGTGTTAAGCCAGCTGAGGAAAAAAATCAGAAAGAATTAATCGAAGAAGCAAAGAAAACAAATAAAAACCTACCATTTGCCACCAATTGTTCGAAAGGATTTGGTGTAACCGTAGGTGGAATAGCTGTTCCATTTTCCGTCGCATTCGCTCCATTAACAATAGCTGCAGCGGCGGCGGCACCTGGTAATATCGGTGAAGCAATTGGAGCAGCCACTGCAGCACCTGGAGCCGCTGCAGCTGGTGCAGCATTTCCATTAGCCGCAGCCGCATTTTCTTCCTGTCGTGGCAATGCGGTCGAATTCGTAGCCGGTGCACGTAATATATTCAAACGGCATGTGGGACAAGTTTGTTGACGTTGGAACCATGATCGCAAACATGTTGTATGGAATATATGACCACATGGTAATTTCTTTGAATGATTCACCATATCTTCACGACAAATAATACAAATGTTATCCGATAATCTCAGCTCTTCGGGTGTGGCATCTGGATACAAGGTATTCATATTACGTATAGCACGACGAGACATAATGACATCACTCAGTGCCTTTTTAAAGTTGCGTATAGTGAAGAACATTGGTCGGAATACAAACATCGGTAGGGCATAGAATTTCGCCATAATCACCACAAACAACACATACAAGATGACTTTAATGAAACCAATAAACAGCTCCGTGTACAGTAGGAATACAGCCTTATTTTCCCACGGAGTATCGGTACGCATTTCAGCGGCGTGTAAAACATATTTTATAGCTGTACTTGCTACAACAGTTAGTAAGATTGCATATTCAAAACCGAAGACAAGTTGTACACTGGGACCGCGTGCCAATGCTGAATTGTAGGCATGCATAAGGAGCATATAATCTAATGTACCCAATACCATCAATAAACTGGCCACACGTATATGGAATAGCCAACCTAGAACAGGAGAACGTTCCATCTGTAAAGTAGAAGAAAATTATATTGTGAATCAGAATGATTAGAAATTGAAATTTAGATGATTAGAATGATTAGAAATTGAAATATATGCCGTGTTCCTATTTTCTTAATGGAACAATTTACTTTTTCAAAATCAACTAGGAACCCTCAGCTTATAGTTCCAAAACTAACATCCATTTTAGAGCGATCGTTTTATGTTCGAGTAGCTAGGAAATTTAATACGTTACCACTTCATTTAAGAAGCTTTCATCTCTCACCTAGTGCTTACCGACATAGACTTTATACCTTTTTACGAACTAATAATTCATGGTAAAAGTTTTTTTAAAATTCCTTTGTGATTGTGTAATTGTGATTCTGCCTTGTGCTTTTAATTGAGTAGACCCCATCCTATATAATTGAGTAGACCCCATCCTATATAATTGAGTAGACCCCATCCTATATAATTACATTTTGTAAGATATCCTCTGTTTATTTATACCATAATTAATAATACTCCCTGTATCATTTATTTGAGTAGACCCAATCCTGTTTAATTATATTTATGTTTATATTTTTTCTATCTTTTAATTAATATTGTAAAATGAATTTTATTATTACAGATACTTGAGTTGATCCCATCCTTCTTGTGATAACAGTTGTATAAATTATTGTTAATTAATTTTATTGTAATGATAAGTGCCTCAATTTTTGTATTTTTTTTAATACTGTTTTAATAACCACGATAACATTATAGAGTAACTTTTTTATTATTTTTTATATATTAAGCTATTTCCGCTCGATCTTCGAGTAGAATCTTAGTTGCAGTCAAAATTTTTGTTTGGGTTTCTGTGAATAATCACTACTTTTACTAGTATTGCTTGTCAAGTTAGTGAAATGTACATGTATTATTCTTGGCCCGCAATTGTTATCGTGATTGTTAAGATTTTCTTGTTTTATTTTATAGTCGAGGATTTTCGCGTTATTGTTTATTATAAGTGTAATTATGAGATTTGTAGACTGGTAATTTCTTAAATGTGGTCTGCGGACTTTGAAATTATTGTGAATAAATAAAAATTAAAATTAAAAAAAAGAAAATGCAAACTAATTGAAAAGGGTATAAATTAATGTTTTTGAGTGGACGAACCATTCCTGTTTCAGACTCGTCGATATAAACTAACTTCCTTTTGTTTATACGAAATCCCTTCCCTTGGTCTATAAAGACTCTCTTCCGTATGTTTTTTTTTCTTCTAAACAAGTGCTACGAAGACGTTCGTCATTTTTTATTCGAATCTGGATGGAATATCACACATAACCAAACTAAAGTTATTGAGAACAAAAACTGATTGTTTTATCGGGTCATCGTTATATAATCGAATCAACATTTCAGAACACACTAAAGCGTCGATTTTAAGAACTTTGAAGTACTTAGTCACTTCTCAGCACCTGTTATTACTGTTCACAGACAAGATCGGTTTTTTGAAGCTGCGACTATTGTGGCTTTCCCTTAGAGAGAAGTTGACGAACATTCTATTATTTTATCTTGGTAATCTGCTGTAGATTGATTGGTAATTCAATATCTGTCGCGAAAGAAGCAAATTTGATATCCGCTCCATTCCTGACCTCAGCAATCACAATTATTACCTTTTCCGCATGGTGTATCCACAATGAAGATAATGTTAAGTGGATGGGTTTGATCGGACAATTAAGGAGGGAAAGTATATAATGTTGATCATTACCACATGTCTAATTGATGTTCCGCAATTGTTTGATTCATCTAAGTTCCGGATTAGTTTTCAAATTAAGAAATGGTGCTAGTTCCATTTGCTGTAACCACAGATCTTATGACGTTTCCACGACAACGATGTCTACGATACGAAACGACCCGAGTATAACTACGCCAACGTCTGAGTATTCGCGGATCCCACTGGCTCCGCATAGGTTACAACTGATCGACATATTGCTTTAAAAGAGGTCGTCGAGGTCTCCTTCTTAGAGCTTCTGGTGCTGCCGACCATCTACTTAAAAATCGTGTTCCTATTCCTTAGTTTATGGCAGATAAACTAAAGTATTGTGTGCTGTCTAATGTGTTCCCGAGATTTTTGGCATGGTTAGTGATAAGAATTTTCGTTTTCGCAGTCTATGTGGTAAACAGTGTAATCGGAAATGTGGTGGCTAACATGCCTGGGCGATGAATTGTGTGGCTCTCTTTCCGAATCACCCATGAAAATGTTGCTACGAAGCAGGCGTAAGGGAAGGTGAAAAATTTGGAGTTGTTAGTGTTCGGAATTTTCATTTTCGCAATCTATGAGGTGTGATAAAAAATGTCGAGGCGGTGTGTCGAGTTATGTTTTAAATCTTTCACATATCTCTATGACGTTTAAAAGCTGTGGAATATCGGAAAAGTAGAGGATAAACAGTTTTTGAAATATCACCTCACCCTGGGGAATATATGCATGTATCGGGAAGACTGCCGTTGTTGTTGTAGCAGTTTATATGAATGTTGTTTTCCTATTTGATTCAGTCAGGCTCTGTCTCCAAATTAAGAAATGAAGACATTCCGCATCTGGTAATCAATCCATGCCCAATACGAATTGAGACGACTGCACCACCCTGAACGTATTTGGGCCAAAACTACTCTGGCTTGTCTGAGAAACTGATGTTCTACAGCTGCGATGGGGCGTGAGCACCGAGGACGATATTCATTCTGTATTAGTTCTGCGCTGCGGCAACTGCATCAGTATGAATGCTATTCAGACCTACTTGATAGGCAACTTGATCTAGAGGATATCTTTTATAACGTTGGACCTACCTCTCTCTCTAAATCATGTACATCCTTTCTGACACGCCTGGCTGGGAAAGTTTATCCACCTTATGATGGTTAGGATGATTGTCCCTGAAGCACCCGAGCAGGTACTGCATCTGCATAATGTGGCCGACGATTTCGTGGCGGATACTTTCATATTCCCCGTGTGAAAGAAGGCTTTTACATATGTCCTCAACAAAAGAATCCGACGCCATCATTGTATCTATGTATGCATATGTAAAGATGCATATGTAATACCGGAAAGGTAGACGTTAAACAGTACATATATCTCTGGGGAACTCTCGACTATACTCTACGGGGTTTGGACTCCTTATTCCGGAACTCCACGTACGAATGGAGTCCACACACACATAGTTGGAAGATTACCGTAGTTCGGCTAGTTGATATCGAGTGCGGATGGTCTGATTCTATAGACCTCTCTCCATAATAAATATTTTTTCGGACGTACATGAATATATACATGGCTCGAGAAGACTGCTGTTGTTCGGCTAGTAGCTATCGATTGCGGATGGTCCCTTACCTCACTCTCCTCCTCTCTGCATAATCAAGATCATTCCAGACGAACCTATAGGTGCCTGCAACTTATGTTTACATTCGGAAGAATTTTCGTATACCCTATTTGAAGTGCTTAGGGCTACATTATGGAATGATTGAATATTTCACCAATAGCTTGCACTTATGCAGCCTCATAGCATCTCTGGGATAGCACTCGAACTTTTTTAGGTTATCAATAAGATTTTCTTGCTTCGTATTCTAAAGGCGACCCCATATTCTCCTATGTTACATCTTTCGAACAACATGTGAACTTTTTAAATTTGTAAATTGCTGTGAGATTACGGCACCAGGTGTTGTTGATTAAAAATTATTATTGTTTTTCTTATTGTTGTTGTGTAAATCCAAAAAGTACACATCATATGCTAAATGAAAATACACATCAACCTGGCTATTTCTACTGTTTTTTTTATCAATTTGTCGTAGTTCAAAGTTGCAAACAAGACAACAACTACAACAAACAAAAAATAAATCTCAACTGATAACAAAACACCTTTAACAAAACAAGTGGCCTAATACCTGTAAAAAATCATATTGTTCCAATTTCTTTTTCTCCAATCAAATACTTACAAAATCTACACGTTCTTCGGCCAGCCAATGGAATGATTTAAGAAACAATAACACCGTAAATAGGGCCACAAATCTTGGATTGAAATCATCACGAAAAACGGTAAAGGCCAAACATGTTTCCGTCAGGGCATACCAGAAACGTTCCAATAAATGTTCAAATTCTGCTGCACGCAAGGTGCCCAAGAAGATCTGTGAAAGGCAATAGGGAATAAAATTAAATTGTTTTAGTGAGAAATTACTACCTAAGCAACTACCAATTAACACTTACCTTTCGCAACAATTTACCAAACATAAAGACAATGGCAAAGAATTGAATGTAAATCACCTGAAAATACAAAATAACAACAACAAAAACAACATCATCATCATCCGACAAAAACAATCTTTTTAAGAAGCAATGAGGTCATATCACACACATTCTAGCCGTACACATATAAATATATATATAGAGCACGACAAAAGTAGTGAGACACCCTCCTCGACCGGCCCCAACCCACCCAAGCACCACCTGCCAGCCTGTCCCGTCATTATTTTCTCGAATCTACTTACCGCCATCGATGCATTTGATTTGGTGATGTACACCACCGCTGGATAGAATTGCTTCTTCTGATACCAGGCATTGCCAATGACGGCACTGGTCAGTGCCATGCACACGGCCGAGAGCAGTAACTGCATGATGGTACTGTTGTTTATACGCACAGCCCAATGGCTGATCGACACCAAAAATATGTTAATCTTGCTTTGTTCGTAGCTCCGCTTTCGCCCTAGACCATTTAAAATACATAAATATTCGTAAAGGTCTTCACGGCAACGACGACGACGTTGCAAAACATTTGCAGCCACAGGAAGTTGGCACCACGGCAATCAAGTTGTGGAGATGTGAAGAAGGAGAAAAAAACACAAATATTTTTAATTTTTTATCAATCCGAAGAAGCAGGAAAAAGTTCGTCAAATGTTTTTTTCTTTCTTTCTTGATTTTTTGCTTTGCTATATTTTAGTTGTTTTTTTCTTAAATTTTATTGCAGATTAGTTATTAATTGTTTTTGTTTTTATAGGCGCGTTCCAATTTGCTTTTCGTTTGCAATATTTACTAATTCGCAATTAGAATTAACAATTTACGGCTGAATAAAATGAGAAAAATATATAAAATTTACTTATTTTTCTAAGATGTACGTGTCCACAGATAATTTATCTATGACGTTCCGTCAAATTCTTTACAGGGTTGCCAAGTGGCCCTGTTTGTGTGTAAATAAAGGTATGATAAACAAAAATAGCAGTTAATTGAAGGGGGACTTTTGAAGATAGGTTGCTATAGTTTGTTTTTATGCCATGATACAATAGGAAAGAAATGGTAAAGTAATCATATGATTACAGGTGCGCGTTTTATGTTTGTTTGCTCTTAGTCTGCTTTTCCACAGGCAGATTTTTATTTGGCATATTTTTTGTTTTCTCTTTTGAAATTTTCGCTTGCTTTTCCATTAGCAAATTTTTCTTTGCCAAATTTGCGAATCAAAATACAAAAGAAAGAAAATAAAAGTCAAAAGTGTTTGCATTTTAAAGATTTTTTTTAATATTTTATTTATTTTTTATATATTTTATTATATAAATTGCAAAAATTAAAAATTAAATTTCACTTGCACAAATTAAAGCAACAGGTTTGTAAACAAAAGCCGGCTGTGTGTCAGTAAAGCGAATAGGTTCAAAAGGAAATGTCAACAAAATTGTTTTCAACGAACAGAGCAAAGTAGAATTTGCGTGTACGGCAAATTCTGAACAGGCAAATTTTTGTTTTTCTTCCTCGCACCCCTCTCGCCTACAAACTCAGTATTTGCCAAATAAAAATTTGCCTGTGGAAAACCAGACAAACTCATTTTTGGATCAGCTGTTTTATGACCAAACACAAAAATTATTCAAAACATTTTTTTTAATTTGAAAAGTTCAATTTAAAATTATGTTGTATAAAAATTACATTAAATTAAAAACTAATTCTTTATTTTTTTAGGCAAGTTGCAGAAAGAGGGCAATGTATTGATGCAGGAAGCTTAAATGTTCCCGGGGAACATACCAAACCATTTTTTCTTTTATTGTTCATTTTATTTTTAATATTTAATGCAATACAAACAATTGTGTTCGTCCTTTGTTTGTTGTTTATTTTGGCGCAAATAAATTGTTTTCTTGAATCAGCTGTTAATTTGTTGAATCTTACTAAATTTTATCTTCTTACTTTTCTCAGTATTATCGCAAAAGTGAGTAAAAACGGCTTATACTCTGAACTAGAACTTACTGAGTCAATGTTACTGGAAAAGTAACCAGACACACCTATTATATGGGGCTACCCTGAAACTTGGTTAACTCTTATAGCACGTTTACATTGAACCAAATTTTTTAACGCAGCAGATTTAAATTATCAATTCCATTGCAGACATGTCAAATAAATCTCAATAAAATTAGTCTCAAAGTAGGTTAATCCGGTTAACAAATTTTGGTAGTAATAGTACGCTTACATTTAACCGGATTTCGTTAACCCAGTGGGTTTCAATTGTTAATTCCTTTGTATATATGTCAAATAAATCATCATAAAGTAAGTAAAAATTCTAAAGTATATGCCGTTTAAGATTTGATATATATTGATAATAGAAAATTATAGCCTATTCGGTTAAAAACCCTGTCCAAAATCGCTAATGTACCGTTATATGAGGTCAACCCTAGAATTTAGGTCAATATTAACAATTTTTAGTACGAAGATGTGATATACAATACGAACACAAAACACAAAATTTCAGCCAATTCGTGTTACAAATAACGAATATTGAAGATTTTGTATACCAAACATCTAAATAGGTATTCTCATACTTTTGACAAAATTCATATTTCAAAATTTAAATGAGATTTTGTATACTAAACATCTTAATAGGTATTCTCATACTTTTGACAAAATTCATAATTCAAAATTTAAATGAAAAAAACCTTCCTTCGAAATGTACGGAAAGGTTGTGTTTATGAGGATTTATTTGGACAAATTTCCAATGGAATTGATCATTTATTTCCACTGGATTTACCAAAATCCAATACAATATAAATACATTATTAGAATATAGTCTCGCCTTAAATCCTGATAAAGTTTAACCCGAAACGTAATATAAATGCATTATAAGTCCCTTTCAAGTATGCGTTCTGAATTGTTTATCTGCTATCATGGTATAATAATAGAATGTAACAGCAAGTGTTGTTGTACAAAAAACGATACAACAACCACATGGAAATTTGTTGTTGTAAGTTCTACTAGTGTCAACTCATTTGACAGGAAAATGTAAACAGACAAACAAATTATCATCAAATTATTTTTATTTTGAAAATGAAATATTTTCGTATCTTCAAAATAAAAATTGACAAACATGAATGAAAATCTTTCAAAGTTATATTTCTATAGCTTCCACATCTTTCCTATAATTGAGCCATTGCCACATATATGTGTAACACATATGAAAATGCTGGGAATAGCGAGTTATTCCTTGAAGAAAGATTTGCTTCCTGAAATTTTCCCAGCAGCAGATTGAGTAAATTGAATACGGGAGCATATTTAATAAAGAACAATTTGAAATTGTATGCGTTTCCAATTTTCTGTTGGGTGATTTTTAAAAACATAATTTGTCAAATTCATATTGACACTAGTATTACGTTCGAATCAAATCAGCTGGGATTTGCTGTTACCTTTTATAATTGCACCATGATCTGCTATTTAGGTGGAAACCCCACAAAAACATGGTATTTTGTTAACAATACTAAGGGTAAAACATGATTCAAACATACCTACAACGGCAAAAAACAAAATATGGCAACATTATCGTTGAGCCTCTATAAACTTCATTCCGCCTTTACGCCGTTGCAAATATTCTTAGCTCGACTTCATTTTCTGAGAGAGCACGGCAAAAGTTAATTTTTTGGGGATATACTAGAAAATAATTTTAATAATAAATAAATTAATAATACTGCATAAAAGTTATTTTCAAAGGTATAGAAAAAATCTATTCAATTAATTATATAAATAACGAAAAGGATGTGTTGGAAAGTTTGTAAGGTGTGAAGAAAATTTAACTTTGCAAAAAAGAAAGAAAAAAAATGAAGTGACATGAAATGAAAGAAAAATTTGCAAGGGACACCGGAAAAAGTACGTCGGGAAAATAAATCGGGAGCCTCTGGTTGGTGGTGGTGCCACCACAGAGTAAAATCGATAAAATTCAAAAAGTTGGTGTTATGACCAACAGCACACAGCTTATTGTGAAATTAATAACAAAATTTAAAAGTAGTGCAAAAAAAGGTTGCTAAAAAATAATATTTTTTAAAGAATTATTAAATTTTTCCTTGTTGGTGTGTGAAAACATATAAGTACATGAAGAAAATTGAAAAATTGCAATGACAAAGGAAAAAAAGTGAATGAAGTAAGCAGTGCAAAAAATCAGAAAAAAAGAAAAGAGAAAAGGAAGAAAAGCAAGCTGCTGCTATTGCGAAAGGTGTTTGTTTTTTGGAAGTGGGAGACGACCCCTACAAAATATATTTTTTTCCATAACGAAATATTCGATTGTGTGGCTGGTAGCCATTTTGTTGAAAATCCGGTGTAATAAATTAAACAAAACAAGCGAATTTCGGGAAATTATGCATTTTTGTGCAACTCATAGATAAGTTCAATAGAATAAAATTAACAAAAAAAAAACGATTTGTGCAAATGTAAATAAGAAGGAATACAATAGAAACGGCAACACACAGAGAAGGCGAGAAAAAAACCACAAAAATCTGAGAGTCGGTGAGAGAGAATGGTTACCAGACATTTGTTCACTGAGAGAGTGAGAGCAATGAAAATTCTTATTGGGCGGATGCAAAAAAACAAAAAGAATGCCATGCACAATAAAATAGGGAATTGACGAAAAGAGAAATTGCATTAAATCAAAGAAACAAAAGAAAAAGCCGAGAGTAAAAAAATAAAACGAGAAACAACAAGAAAAAATTGCAATTCGTTCGTTCCTTCGTTGGATGGATTGTGAGTAGTGAGTGCTTAGAAAGGTGTACAAAAATTTTTGTTGGTTAATAATTTTTTTGGAAAAAAAGTTAAACAAATTACAAAGTAGTGGAAAACAATAACAAAAAATAACGAATATAAACAAAACGAAGCAATAAGAAAAGGAAATTTTAAAACCAAATGAATTAATTTCTATGGCAAAAATTTGTAAAGACGACGACGACGGCCAAACGACCGACAGTGGTATATTATTATATACGTTGTATGTGGAGTGAGTGCGTGTGTGTTTGTTCTAAAAAATCGATAGTAATCGTTGCGTTGTTGTTGTTGTTTTATTTTGATGTGTTTCATTTCGGTTTATTTTTTCTGCAGCTGTGTATGAGAGAGCGACTTTTGCTGCCAGTCTCTGTGGTTGATTGTGTGTTTTCTTTTTTTATTAAAACAATTTCGTTTTATTTGCCGATATTCTTCTTCGTGTCATGACATTCGCCAAAAAGAAAGAAACGAAATAAATAATGTGAAACAAATAATTAAATTATTATTAAAAAATGATGATGAAAATAAAAGCAAACAAAATTATGGTGTCATAATTACAAACGGTGCAAAAAAATGTCAAATGTCTCTCTTCACTGACGTTTAACGGCAAAACACAATTGTAACGTTGATCGTTTAGAGGCATCAACGATGTCATTTCTTTATTTCTTTTTTATATTTTGAAGGGGATTTC